CGCGCGGCGGCGCGGCGGCATTGCCCCGAGGACGTCGAGCCGCGCGCGGGCTTCGGCATGGGCCTCGCGGCGCGCCCCCCGGGCCGCTCGGCGGCGGCGGCGGCGGCGGCGACGACGACGTCGTCGTCGTCGTCATCGTCGATGTCGTCCTCGTCGTCGTCGTCGTCCTCGTCGTCGTCGTTGTCGCTGTCGTAGTCGTCCGTCGTCGGCCCTTGAGCAATCTGGACGTGCGTTTTTGGATGCGTCGTTTTTGAACGTCTAGTGTGTTCTGTACATTTGAACTTTTTCTTGTGCGTTTGTTTTGCGTGTCGTAGCATTGTGTAGTTTTGGGAGCTCGTCGCCTGCACGCCAGCTTGCTGCGCCTCGTTCAGGGCGATCTGGCGCCCCTTTTTCTGCGACTCGCTCGTTCTGGGGAACGGGCCCCGCCGGAGGGCCCACGGCTTCAGTCCAGCTTCCTGTCGAGGCACGTGCTGGTATCGCCTTCTGGGCACATTCCGACAGACCGCGTATCACGTGCCATGTGTCGTGGTGCTCTGGGGGAACACTCCGCGAGATATTCCGTTGAGGAAGAGGGACATGAGGAGAAGAAGGAAAAGGGAGTAGGATGATGAGGAGGAATTAGGAGGAGGAGGAGGAGGAGGAGGAGGACGCCTCTTGGAAGCCTCTTGGGGCACTGTTGGGGTCTCCTGGGGCCTCTTGGAGGCCTCTTGGGGGCCCCCTTGGGCCTCTTGGGAGCCTCAGGGGGCTTCTTCCGGGCTGCTTTGGCCGTCTTGGGGCGTTCCTGGCCCGTCTGGAGCCGTCGGATACCGTCTTGGTAGCTTCTCTGGGCCCTCTTGGGGCGCTTCGGGGCCATCTTGGTGGCCATCTTGGGTGTCTTGCAGGCCTCTGGGGCCGTCTTGAGGCCCTCTTGGGACCATGTTGGAGGCTTCTTGGGCCGTCATGGGTTCATCTGGGAGGCCTTTGGGGCCATCTTGGGCGATCTTGGTGGCCTCTTGGGCCGTCTTGGGCCGTCGGAAGGCCGAAAAGAAGCAAATGCCAAAATCCTTCACAAACCTAAGGGGAATCAATGATTTTGGCTCTTTGGGCCCTCCTGGAGGACCTCTCGGAGGCCTCTTGAGCCGTCTTGAAAGCCTCTTGGGCCGTGTTGGAGGCTTATTGGGCCGTCATTGGGTCATCTGGGAGGCCTTCGGGGCCATCTTGGGGCGATCTTGGTGGCCTCTTGGGCCGTCTTGGGCCGTCGGAAGGCCGAAAAGAAGCAAATGCCAAAATCCTTGACAAACCTAAGGGGAATCAATAATTTGGGCCTCTTCGGGCCCTTCTGGAGGACCTCTCGGAGGCCTCTTGAGCCGTCTTGAGGCCCTCTTGGGCCGTCTTGGAGATTTCTTGGGCCGTCATGGGGTTATCTGGGAGGCCTTGGGGGCCATCTTGGGGCGATCTTGGTGGCCTCTTGGGCCGTCTTGGGCCGTCGGAAGGCCGAAAAGAAGCAAATGCCAAAATCCTTCACAAACCTAAGGGGAATCAATGATTTTGGCCTCTTCGGGCCCTCCTGGAGGACCTCTCGGAGGCCTCTTGAGCCGTCTGAAACCCTCTTGGGCCGTGTTGGAGGCTTATTGGGCCGTCATGGGGTCATCTGGGAGGCCTTCGGGGCCATCCTGGGGCGATCTTGGTGGCCTCTTGGGCCGTCTTGGGCCGTCGGAAGGCCGAAAAGAAGCAAATGCCAAAATCCTTCACAAACCTAAGGGAATCAATGATTTTGGCTCTTTGGGCCCTCCTGGAGGACCTCTCGGAGGCCTCTTGAGCCGTCTTGAAAGCCTCTTGGGCCGTGTTGGAGGCTTATTGGGCCGTCATTGGGTCATCTGGGAGGCCTTCGGGGCCATCTTGGGGCGATCTTGGTGGCCTCTTGGGCCGTCGGGGCCGTCGGAAGGCCGAAAAGAAGCAAATGCCAAAATCCTTGACAAACCTAAGGGGAATCAATAATTTGGGCCTCTTCGGGCCCTCTGGAGGACCTCTCGGAGGCCTCTTGAGCCGTCTTGAGGCCCTCTTGGGCCGTCTTGGAGATTTCTTGGGCCGTCATGGGGTTATCTGGGAGGCCTTGGGGGCCATCTTGGGGCGATCTTGGTGGCCTCTTGGGCCGTCTTGGGCCGTCGGAAGGCCGAAAAGAAGCAAATGCCAAAATCCTTCACAAACCTAAGGGGAATCAATGATTTTGGCCTCTTCGGGCCCTCCTGGAGGACCTCTCGGAGGCCTCTTGAGCCGTCTTGAAACCCTCTTGGGCCGTGTTGGAGGCTTATTGGGCCGTCATGGGGTCATCTGGGAGGCCTTCGGGGCCATCCTGGGGCGATCTTGGTGGCCTCTTGGGCCGTCTTGGGCCGTCGGAAGGCCGAAAAGAAGCAAATGCCAAAATCCTTCACAAACCTAAGGGGAATCAATGATTTTGGCTCTTCGGGCCCTCCTGGAGGACCTCTCGGAGGCCTCTTGAGCCGTCTTGAGGCCCTCTTGAGCAAATGGAGGCTTCTTGGGCCGTCATGGGGTCATCTGGGAGGCCTTCGGGGCCATCCTGGGGCGATCTTGGTGGCCTCTTGGGCCGTCTTGGGCCGTCGGAAGGCCGAGAAGAAGCAAATGCCAAAATCCTTCACAAACCTAAGGGAAATGAATGATTTTGGCCTCTTCGGGCCCTCCTGACGACCTCTCGGAGGCCTCTTGAGCCGTCTTGAAAGCCTCTTGGGCCGTGTTGGAGGCTTATTGGGCCGTCATGGGGTTATCTGGGAGGCATTCGGGGCCATCTTGGGGCGATCTTGGTGGCCTCTTGGGCCGTCGGAAGGCCGTCGGAAGGCCGAAAAGAAGCAAATGCCAAAATCCTTGACAAACCTAAGGGGAATCAATAATTTGGGCCTCTTCGGGCCCTTCTGGAGGACCTCTCGGAGGCCTCTTGAGCCGTCGTGAGGCCCTCTTGGGCCCTCTTGGAGACTTCTTGGGCCGTCATGGGGTTATCTGGGAGGCCTTTGGGACCATCTTGGGGCGATCTTGGTGGCCTCTTGGGCCGTCTTGGGCCGTCGGAAGGCCGAAAAGAAGCAAATGCCAAAATCCTTCACAAACCTAAGTGGAATCAATGATTTTGGCCTCTTCGGGCCCTCCTGGAGGACCTCTCGGAGGCCTCTTGAGCCGTCTTGAAAGCCTCTTGGGCCGTGTTGGAGGCTTCTTGGGCCGTCATGGGGTCATCTGGGAGGCCTTCGGGGCCATCCTGGGGCGATCTTGGTGGCCTCTTGGGCCGTCTTGGGCCGTCGGAAGGCCGAGAAGAAGCAAATGCCAAAATCCTTCACAAACCTAAGGGAAATGAATGATTTTGGCCTCTTCGGGCCCTCCTGACGACCTCTCGGAGGCCTCTTGAGCCGTCTTGAAAGCCTCTTGGGCCGTGTTGGAGGCTTCTTGGGCGGACTTGGAGGCATCTTGGACCCTGTTGGGCAGTCTAGGAAGCCATTTGGGACCATCTAGGGTGAACTTGGAGGCCATCTTGGCCGTCTTAGAGGCCATCGTGGGCCATCTTGTGGAGCGGAAAAAACATGGCCAACCACCTCCGGGCAAGAAATCCGGGTGGCCGGCGCAATGGACAGGAGCCCCAGGGGTAGCTCTAAAAGTACAAAAAAAAAAACACCAGACAGATAGCACGCCAATCACCCCTGTGGCAAGCCAACGGCGGGGGTAGATCGAAGACGCCTACGGCGAATCACCGCCGCCTCCTGTCGATACGACTATGTTATGTGGCCAAACGTTTGGGCAAAGTTTGGGCACGCTATTGGACAATGCGTTCCCCCAGCCGTTGTGGAAACCCTGCGGGGAACACGTGGGGGAAAGAAGAGGAGGATGAGGAGAGCGAGGAAAAAGAAGGAGGAGGAGGAGGAGAAGGAGGAGGGGGCCTCTGGGGAGCCATTTGGGGCACTCTGACGCCTTTGTGGGCTTCTTGGGAGCATCTTTGGCCGTCGTAGGGCGTTCCTGGTCCCCAAAACGCGTCGGAAGGCGTCTCGGGGGCCTTCCTGAACCGACTTGGGGCCCTCTTGGGGTATTTCAGGGCCGTCTCGGAGGTCATCCTGGGCATCTTGGAGGCCTTTTGGGCCTTTATGGAGCCATGGGCGATCTTGGGGGCCGTTTTCGGCCGTCGGAAAGCCGAAAAGAAGCAAACGCCGATATCCTTCAAAAACCAACGGATAAACAGTGATGTTTGCCTCCTCGGGCTTTCCTGGAGGCCCTTTTGGGGGCCTCTTCGGGCCGTCCTGGAGGCTCCTTGGGGACCTCTCGGGTCGCTTTGGGGCATCTTGAGCCCGCTTTGGGCCGTTTTGGGTGACTGCTTCGGCGGTCGTGGATGCACCGTGGAGGACCGCTGGCGCCTGCCACTGCAGCCGCACGAAGCATTGATTTGTCCCGCGGTCTTCATGCCGCGTTCAACCTCGTAGCTGGGGCGCGTGTGCGTTTTCCTCGTATGAGGCTCTACCATTAGCTGCCTTTCTTCGTTTCTGCTGCTTCGTTCGCTACCGCAAGGCCTGCCAATTCTTGGACCATGGGCGGTCTGGGAGGCCATCTTGAACGTCACCTTGGCCGTCTTGGGATGACTGGACCAGGTGTTCGGCGGACTGTGCGGCTGGCGCGGCCTTCCGGGTGGCTAGCACAATCGACCGGAGCCCCAGGGGGAAGTCTCAGCAAAAACGAAGAAAAAACAGCAATGACAAAAAAAACATCAAATTCTTTACGTTTCGCGTATCCCCACCAGCCCATCTCAAAACAGCAACTCTTGCGAAGCATGCCGACAGTCGTGTTTTTCAGGCGTGTTTCCGCCTGCCCCCGCATATCTCCCCTGTTCCTCCTTCCTCCCGCCTCCTTGTACATCCTCCTTGTGGTGGGAGCGGGAGAAGGACGAGGCGGAGGAGGAGGGAGAGAAAGCGCTCCTCGTGGTTTGAGTCGTTTGGGGTTTCTTGTCCTGGTGTGAGTCGTTCGGGCCCTTCTTCCTGGTGTGAATCGTTCGGGCTCTTCGTGATGTGAGTCGTTCGGGCTCTTCGTCCTGGTGTGAGTCGTTCGGGCTTCTCGTGGTGTGAGTTGTTCGGGCCCCTCGTCGTCGTGTGAGTCGTTCGGGCCCCTCCTCCTGGTGTGACTCGTTCGGGCTCCTCGTGGTGTGAGTCGTTCGGGGCCCTCGTCGTGGTGTGAGTCGTTTTGGGAGCCTCTTGGAGGCCTTTGGGGGCGTCTTCGGGGCCTCTTGGCGGCCCCAGGGGCTTCTAGGAGCGTCTTGGGTGCCTTGGGGGAGCCTCTTCGGGCCTCTTGGGAGCCTCTTGGAGGCCGTTTGGGGCGTCTTGGGGGCCTCTTGGCGGCTCCAGGGGCTTCCAGGAGCGTCTTGGGTGCCTCGGGGGAGCCTCTTGGGGCCTCTTGGGCGCCTCTTGGGGGCATCTTGGGGGCCTCTTGGAGGCCTCTTGGGGCCTCCTGGGACTCTTTGGGAGGGGTCTGGGAGGAATCTTGGGGCCATCTGTCGGGCGATCGATCACAGATGGGGCGAGCACTTTTCTCCCCCCCCCGTCGGGGCCAGAATCCTCGTGAGGGGTGTCGAATTGAGTCGAAAAAGACCCCTCCAACGACCCGCGAGACGCCCTCTCCAGGCCCAGGGGGAGGGGGTAGGGGGAGGGGTAAACCCCTCCCCGAAGGGGAAGAAGGGGGTTGAGAACAGAGCGGGCTCTCTAAACCACTCACGCCCAAAGGGCTGGTGGGATTTAGCACACCGGGCACTTTCGTGGCACAAACACAGGAGGCAGCGAAGCGAAGACACCTACGGCGAATCACCGCCGCTCCCAACCTTGTAGGATACACCGATGTAACCAAACATTAAACCAATGTGGCCAAACGTTTGGGCAAAGCTTGGGCACGCTATTGGACCAAGCGTTCCCCAAACCGTTGTGGAAGCCCTTCGGAGAATACGTGGGGGAGGAAGAGGAGGATGAGGAGAGGGAGAAAATGGATGATGAGGAGAAGGATGAGGAGACCTCTTGGGAGCTTCTTGGGTCATTATTGGGGCCTCCTGGCAGCTTCTTTGGGGCCTCTTGGAGGTCTTTTAGAGCCTTCTTGGGCCGCTTGGGGACCTTGGGGGACATCTTGGGAGCCTCGTTGGCTGTCTTACGGCTCTTCTGACCCGTCTGACGCCGTCGGATACCGTCTTGGGAGCTTCTCTTGGCTCTCTTGGGGCCCTGTTGGGGTGATTCAGTGCCGTCTTGATGCCAATCTTGGGCTGTCTTGGGGCCCGTTGGGGGCCGTCTTGGGAGCCTTTTGGGTCGTCCTAGCGTCCTGGGACCATCTTGGAGGCCTCTAGTGCGATTCTTGGTTAATGTCGTGTGTCTTGGGCCGTCGGAAGGCCGTTGTGAAGCAAATGCGCAAATGTTCCAAAACCAATGAAAAGTCAATTTGGGCCTCGTCGGGCCTTCGTAGAGGCCCTTTTGGAGGCCTCTCGGGCAGTCTTAGAGGCCTCTTAGGGGTACTCGTCTTGGCCGTCATGGAGGCGTCTTGGAGGCATCTTGGAGGCCGTCTTGAGCCATCTGGGCCGTGTTGGAGGCGATTCGACCCACGAGAGCAAAATGTTCGGCGGCGTTCTGGGTGGCCCGCGCAATGGACCGAAGCCCCAGGAGAAGTCTTAAGAAGAATCAAAACCATCAGACATGCAGCACGACGGGCACCTTTCTGATAAATCAAGAGGGGTCGGCGGATGACGGAAAGCAGGCGTAGGGTCGCGATGCGTTAGCCTGAAGAAATAACAACTTGGCATCGTTCGGACGTGTGCATTTTTTTCGGCGAGGACCTTGGAGGAGCATCCTGGATCATCGAGCAAACAAAAACACGCACGAAACCGAAAAATGCACAGGGAATGGACGTCCGAGCGATGGCGAGACAAGGGGGGAGTGTGACGGATTTGGCCTCGGCGGCCTCAGATGACGGAAAGCTCGCGCAGCGTCGCGATCCGTCGGTAGGGAGAAATAGCGAGGGGGAGTGCAAAGGGGGTTGGCAGGTCCCGTCCCAGGTCTAATCGCATTCAGTTTCGGCCATGTTCGGCCCCGGGCGGCCCAAGTCGCCAAGAGCGCCCAAGACGGCCCCAGAGGCTCCCAGTACAGCTGAAGACACCTCAAGGACGGCCCAGGAAAGCCCAGGAGGACCCCAAGACGCCCCAAGAGCGTTCAAAGACGGCCCAAGGTGGCCTGGAGACGGCCAAAGCGGCCCTCCAGACGCTCGAAGAGGCCCTCAAGAGGACCCCCAAGGGGCAAACGTCGTGCCGCTTCCTAGGGAAAACGTACATGTTTGGCACATTAGCTTGTTTCGTTGCCATGCCGTCCCATACGGCCCAGGTGGCCCCCAATACCGTTTTTCTGGTTCTCGCCTTTTCGGACCAAGAACGGCCCAAAATGGTCCAAGAGACTCTAGATATCGTCCCAAGACGGCCCAAGAGGCACCCCGAAGGGCCCGAAAACAATCCAAAAGCGCCCCAAGACGGCCCAAGGAGGCCACCAAAACGGCCCAAGAGGGCCCCAAGACGGCCCTAAGAGAGCCCCAAGAGGGCCCAAAGAGGTTCCCAACAGGGCCCCAAGAGGCGCCCAAGAAAGCCCCAAGACGGCCAAACGCTTCCAAGACGGCCCAAAAGCGCCTGAAGACGGACAGCGAGGGCACCAAAACGGCCCACAAGGGTTCTAAAATGACCCCCAAGAAGCTCCAGAGACGCCAAGTAACACCATGGTTCCCAACAGCGGTGACGTAAAAGCCTCTTGACAGCAAGGCTCCCAAGAGCGAGCGGCAACGCAAAAGACTCTGAACGCAAGGGCTCCCAACAGAGAGTGGTGACGGAACAAGCTCTTGACATTTGAGGCTCCTAAGAGCGAAGGGTGCCATGAGCCATCTCGGGCAAGTTCTTGAAGCGCTCTTTCCGTTCCCGAGCCAGCCCAGGTAACGGAAAGAGCGAGGCACGAGTAATGACGTTCTCGTGGGGCGAAGCCCTCTAGGGAGGGGTCCAGGGGAGGGGCGAGGCGCGGACGACCAGCATCTAATGGCAACTCCCCCCCCCCAGACGGCTCGAGAGGCGCCCAAGACGTCCCAAGAAGCGCCCAAGACGGCCCCAAGAGGGGTTCCGTAGCCATTTTGGCTCAAGGCGGGCGCGGGTGACAGCGATGTCGCTCTCTGGGCACCTGGCGGGCGCCGCGGCATCCCAAGCGGTGCGCGGCGCGGGGCAGCAGGTGGGCCAGGCGATCGGGAAACCGCTCGACGGCTTGTCCTCCGCCACCAGCTCCAGGCACCCGGGGCACAGCGACATCAACTGGGTCGACTTCAACTACCCTCCAGGACTTCGTCTGATCCACTATAGCTCCGACGAGTTGCCATCGTCGCTCTCAGGACTGGTGAGATGTATGAACATTTCGTTCGTTGTCACCTGCGTCGCGTGCGCGCTCAACCTCATCGACACCCTGGTCGTGCACTTCGGCTCAGGGACGAAGACGCCGGGGCGGTGGCTACTGCAGTCTCTGATACATCTCCTTCTACTTCCGATGGCGGCTGGTGGGGTGTTCTACTCGGGGTACCGGGGTCTCGCGGAGCCCGACTCCACGCTCTACTCCCGCTTCAGGGTCGGGCAGGTGGTGCTCGCGCTCGTCTACTTCCTCTTCGCCGTCATCCCCTCCGGCTGCGTGAACGGCTTCTTCATGCTGGGCCAGGTGCGCCAGTACGCCCCGGAAGGCCACGGGTACTGGATGTTCGCCATCATAGCAGAGTCCCTCCTGTGGATGGGCAACTGCGCCCTGGCGTGCCTGAACGTGTTTCGAACAGAGCGGTACGACGCTCACGGCACGCGCAGTAAAGCCGACTCGCGCTTCTGAGCGCTCCGGCCGCCCTGCCGTCTCACCCTTGCCTGCCTGCTCACGTGCGCCCTCCACCCCACATTACAACCTCGGGTTCCCCTCGCTCACCCCGCCTCTCTGCCCGCTACGCGCACAAGCCGCGCCGGTCCGTGCCGGGCACGCGAATCGAGTGACGCACCCTGGGGAGGTAAGGGGGAGAAAACAAAAGAAACAAAAAAAACGGCCCAAGAGGGGTTCAAAAGGGCGCCAAGACGGCCGAACGCGCCCCAAGAAAAGCCCAGGAACCCCTGAGAGCATTCAAAGATGGCTTCAAATGACTTCAATACGGCTCCGGAGGGCTCCAAGAAGGTCCAAGAGGCCCCCAAGAGGATCCCCCAGAGGGCCTGAGGAGGCCAAAAATATTGAGGAGGTCAAACACGCTGATCGTCCGGAGGTGTTTCTATGTTTCTTCAGTTCTCGCCTTCTCGGGCCAAAAACGGTCCAGGACGGTCCAAGAGGCCCCAAGGATCGTCCCAAGACGGCCCCAGGGGCCCCAAGACAGCCCCAAGACAGGCTAACAGTGCCCCAAAACGGCCCAAGAGGGCCCGAAGACGGCTCCAAAAGAGCCCCAAGATGGCCCCAAGAGGCTCACAAGAGGGTCCGAAGTGCCCCCAAGAGAGCCCCAAGACGGCCAAAGGCTTCCAAGACGCCTCAAGAACTCTCCCATCCTCGACATCCGCCGCCTTGTCGCCGTCATCCTTTCTGGATCTCCCCCCTACGAGCCCAATGGACAAAATCGGCGCTTCCCATTCTTGTCCGATCAGGTTTGCCTCCTCCCCGCCCGCCCCTACCAACCGCAGCCGCCCTGTCCATCTTTTTACCGCCTCTTGCAAGGCTTTATTCCCTGTCCGGCGCCCCTGGGCCGCTTGACCGACCCGCGCGCCTGGCGGGTCTGACCAAAGAATGCGTTTGTAGATGTGGTCGGCCCTTGGGGGGGCGGGGGGCGTCCGGAGGCCTGCGGGGACCACCAGAGAGACCCTCGGAGGCCTTGGGAGGCTTCTGGAGACCGTCGCGGCAGTCGTCGTCGTCGTCGTCGTCGTCGTCGTCGTCGTCGTCGTCGTCGTGAACATCGTCGTCGTCATCGTCGTCCGGCGCCCGCGGGGCCCCACGAGCTGGCCGCCGAAGGGCCGCGCGGCGCAGGGCCGCCTCCGAGCCGGCGCGGGCCAGCCGAGGTCTTTTTTTGGCACGGCGTCGCCCGCAGCGACATGCCGAAGCACATTGCGGAGGGCATCGCCGACCCCGCGCTGCACGTGAAGCTGGCGGCCCTCGGCTGCCTGGGCGCCCTCCTGGCCCGCCCGGCGTTCGCCGTCCGCCGTCGTCTTCGTCGTCCTCCCCCTTCTCCTCCTGCTCCTGCTCCGTCTCCTCCTCTTCCTCCTCCTGCTCCTCCTCCTCTTCCTGCTCCTCCTCCTCCTCCTCCCCCCTTTCTCGAGAAAGGGGGATTTGGGAGTCACAGGGGGTCGAAGGCGTGCGCGCGAGACTTTCACAGTGAGATCGCGCGCGCGTGCGCATGCTCCGCGAGACCCTCCTCTTCTTCCTCTTCCTCACCTCCTCCTCCACTCCTCCTCCTCCTCCTCCTCCTCCTCCTCCTCCTCCTCCTCCTCCTCCTCATCATCATCCAGCTCCTCCTTCTCCTCATCCGCTTCCTCCCTTTCTCCCACCCCCTCCTGACCCACCCGTCGCTGAAAGTGTTGTTGGAGTCCCAGGTTGCAGCCTGCTTTGGGCACCTTCCCATTGCAAGACCGAAGCGGTTGTTCATCTACCCTCCTCTGCGAGGGGCGGGCGGAAACCCAATCGAATTACGTTCAAGGCCTTCTACTTCTTGATTGGAACCACGCTTGATGTCTGGTCGATTGGGCTAAGTATCCCTTCTTCGTCGCGCAACACGACGTGTCGGCAGGGCAGGCAGGGGGGTTCGCCTGAGACCTTTGCATCACCTGGCTACGTTCGGGAACTCCAACAGCCACGCGCACGGAGGGTCGGTCGTTTTAAAAGTGTGGCTCTCGCTTTGGCGCGCGCACAATGTTTCAGAAAATTCCGAACAGCTGCACAGATGGAGGATGGGTGGCTTGCAACATGTGGCCATCGTGGTAGCACCTCGCATTCCCTTCGCAAAGTCTCAGGCAGGTGTGTGGATGGAGGGCGGGAGGTCTCAAAACGTGGCTCTCGCCTGATCGCCGCGCAAACTCGTTCTGAAATCCACCCTCAACTGCAAGGAAAGAGGGTGGATGGCTTCCAAAATGTGGATACCGCGGTAGCGCCGCGCATTCCCCTCTTGATTTTTCCCGTTTTCACAGGCATCGATGGCGGTTCCTGTCCAAGGCGAGGCTCTGGCTTGCAAGGGCTTCGGAGTGCATGACCCAGGCGGGTAGAGTTGCGCAGGCGCTGCACGGAGGAAGGGCATTTGTTTTTTCGCAGTGGGGCTCTCGCCGCTGATTCCGTGTTCTGCCAGCTGTAAGAGGTGCAGGCAGTGTTCATGTCTAATACTTCGGAAGTTCTTTGCTTTTGGGGGTGCCGAGATCCTTTCATTTCTAATTATTCTACCCTGGGCCTCTTCCTGGCCACTGGGGGGTCAGGAACAAGCAGAAACGAGCAGAAGTAGAAATGAGCACGATTCGAAATGAACGAACTGTAGACTTGTGCAGCAGCGACAACGATGGAGGGCGGGCCGCTTCGAATCGGCGTTTTCGTCGGAAGCCGTTTCGAAGTGCACCATGATGCACGTTCGCGCTCCTCGTAGCTGGAAGGATGCAGGACAGCTCCTTTTTCGAAACGGGGCCCTCGCCTGAACGGCAGGCCCCTCGCCTGGAAGGGTGCGCTCTTGCCGCAGCGAGCAGGAGTGCCTGCAGGGACGCGCGAGAAAGGAACCTGGGACCTGGAGGGTGCACGGCAGCACCGCTCAATGCATCCTGAGTCTACACTCTGGTCCTCCTCCCCTGCACTTTCTCTTCCTCTCCATCCGCCTCATCCTCGTCCTCCCCCTGCCCAGTCGACTCCCGGGCTTCTCCCAGGGTACATTCTGACCAGGAATCCCGAGGCGAACCCCGACGCGGCAACTCAAAGCCATCCGCATGTGCCCCCCTCTCCTGAGACCCGAAAGTCTCGAACAAAAGTCAGCATCGTAGGAAGTCACAGGTGGAACCCTGGCCCCATCTGTCCGCGGCATCCCTCGAGCCAGGTCGACGTGCCCGAGCAAGAACGAAATCGACGCCCAGATCTCAGGATGCTGCCAGCGTTTCACAGCGCAGCCCCCCCCCCCGAAGGTCTGGGCCACTTCCCCGGGATTGGTTCTCCCCCCGAGTCGTTGGCTGATGGTCCCAGGGCCCGCAGAGGCCCCTGGAAGCCGAAGACGGCAAAACGATTCCCGTCACGATCTTGTCTCGACGCGAGGAGGTCTGGGACGTGAACCGTCGGAAGCCTGGACCTTTTCCCCTGGACCAGCTCTTCATCCCGATTGTTTTCTGTGTCCCGGGGTCCAGTGAGGGAGGGCTCTGGGAGTCCGCAAATGGCGTTCAAAGAACCGTGTCGTCGTCCCCTGATACTCGCGTGTTGAGACGCTACGCGTACCGTGTTCAACACGTCTCTCACGCTCGTGTCGGCACACCTGGTGGCGAACATATCGCGCCACACCGGCGTTATCAATTTGCGTGTTGAGTTCCGTGTCAACACGCTGCCGGTTGCGTGTTGCTTGTCGATGTGTTCAGTATCTCGGGGGTTGGGTGCCCATTTCGCAGGCAGCTTCTCCACGCCAAAACACGAGCACCGTCCGAAAAGTCTGGCGGCCCAGAAAAAGGGGGACACCCTGGGGTACACCCCCAGGGGGCTATTCGGACGCACCCCTATCGAGGATGGACGCCCCCCATCCTCCGTCCCAGAATTGGACCACCACTTCCTGGTCCGCTCGCAAACCCCACGAGGCCTGGGATCATCCCCTCCCCCTCGTCGCCGCCGCCCTTGGCGTCGTGCGCCGCCGCCCGCCGCCGCCGCCGCCCCCAGAGCACCCGAGGACGGCTCGGCCTATCTCGGCACGGGCAGCGGCTCGCGGGAGGGCGCCTCCGAGGGCGCCGTGCGGGGTCGTCTGCCAGGCCGCGGTTTCCTCCTCCTCCTCCTACTCCTCCTCCTCCTCCTCCTCCTCCTCCTCCTCCTCCTCCTCCTCCTCCCCCACCGTCTTCTTAATAGTATTGGAATCATTCTCCTTATTATTATTATTAAAAGTGTTAGTATCATTGGCATCACCATCATGAGTGCTAGTATCATTCGTATTATTAGTAGTACCATCATTTTGTTATGATTATGGTTTTCCTCCTCCTCCTCCTCCTCCTCCTCCTCCTCCTCCTCCTCCTCCTCCTCCTCTTTCTCCCCCTCATCATCATCATCATCATCATCATCATCATCATCATCATCAGCAGCAGCATCATCAGCATCATCATCTTCATATTCAGCTTCATCATCATCATCAGCAGCAGCATCATCATCATGCTTCTCATCCTTCTCCGCCTCAATCTCCGCCTCATCAGCATCGTCGCCATCAGCGTCACAACCATCATCATCAATATCATCAGCATCATCATCATGGTCATCATCATCATCATCATCATCATCATCATCATCATCATCATCATCATCATCCGTCTCCCTTTCCTCCTCCTCCTCCTCCTGCTCCTTCTGCTCCTCCTCCTCATCATCATCACCCTCTTCTTCTTGTCGCGAGGATGTTGCCTCAAGGACACAGTCGACCACCAAGACCAGCTGCCCTGCACACCGTCACGTAGAGGACTGGTCTACCTCGACCCAGAGGCCTTCAAAAACAGGAAACCGAAGTCATCACATCAAATCCGAAGACACGTCGGAGGTTTTGGCTTCCAGGGCAAAGACGGGCGTCAATGCCAGCGGTCCTGCACGCCTACCCTTCCTTACATGCTATGTGCCTCCAGGACACGGCCCGATGACAATGCTGGCAGCGTTGTTCGCATTCTGATTCGTCGGAGGGTCTGACCTCCAGGACACAGCTCGGCGGCAATGCTGGCGGTCTTGTACGCTTGTCGCTACGAGGCATGCGCGCAGAGGCCAGCGACAACGCCGGAGGTGTTGTCTCTATTGGATACGTCGGCGATCCCACCCCCCAGGACACAGCCGGGCGGCAATGCGGGCAGTAGTCTTGCGCACATCCCCCCCTTCGAGACAAGTCAGGGCACAGCCCAGCAGCAACGCTGGAGCTTCTGTCCTGCAGGACACATCCCAGCGGCACTACTTGCGGTCCTGCACGCCTTTTCAGGCCTTGCCGGCCCACGGTGACCTTGGGCCCCAAGCGGCGTTCTGAGGTCACCCGGCGCCCACGACCGCCAGCGTGACCTCGAAAAGGGCTCACTGCACTGGGGGGGGATGCGGGGTGGATCTGGACAATTTCTGAACATTTGCGCTGGGGGTGGGGCGGTACCGGGCCCGCTGTTGGCCAGTTTCGCGCATTGCAGCTGGGGCGAGGCAAGGTTTTCCGTGCTGGTCAACACCTCTGGAATGCGGGTCGGAGATACATCCGCTACTTCCGGGGAGGGGGGCATGTTATTTGACAACCCCTCAGGAGTAACCCCAGGAACGGGGGCATATTCATTCACAGCCGCGCATCCCCCGCCAAACCGAATACGTCGAACAGAGGTGGCTGGTTCGGGATATGCTGACCACGCGTACCATCCACCAACACCAGGTGCCAACAACAGCCCCTGCACAGGTTCTTGGACCAGAAAGTTATCACCCCAACCTTCACGAGCACCCTCACAGGGTTATGCCTACCGTCTAGGGCATTAGCACTACACTGCCATGCTCCTCCTCCTTTCCGTAGCAAGTTTGGCTCAAGTTGAAAACCGTGGTTCGGAGAATTCAACCTGGTCGTTACCAACGAGGAGGCTCAAGCGACCTTCGGGCGATTTCGCTACCCTAGCTTACAAGGCTGCATCGCTCCGCCACCCGCTTGTCTTTTTCACGAGAGGCCCTCACCACCGCCCGAACGGCGCTTGGCACAACAGCCGCTTCCGTTATGGAGAATGGCACAAAGGCGATCTTAGAATAGGTCGATCCGATGAACACTTCGTTTGCAATCCAGTTCACGGACATCAGTGACACATCGCTGGCCCCAACGCGGGCTCGAGCATTGGGAGCACCGCATCCCTGCCATCTTCATAGACTCGCCACATCGAGGACAGCGTTCGGAGTGCTCCCAGCTGTCACAATGACCCTCTTCAGGCCGAACATCGCGATGAGCAGAAAGTTTGGATCACAGGTTTCCTCTCACCTATGCTTGGCGCCGCGCTCGGGCAGCACGGACGAACGCCGCTTGGCCCCACCCCTTGCATCACAGTGCTCGAGCAACGGCACGCGGGCACAACCTCAACCAGAGCTACAGCATCTGCTTCGCCGGCGAGGCTAGAGCTGCGTTCACCAACTCCGCAGTGCCGCGCCGCAGCCCCGAGGCACCGCCACGAGCGCGACCATCACGTTGAGTGACCTGCGAGGCTCAGCGGTCCATCCGCGTCAAGAACACGCACCTGGGAAAGCTCTGGCAGGCCGTCAGGTCAGCGCTCAAGGGCGACAACAAGTGTGAGGACAGCTACACCATGGGCCCCACAAAGCTTCAATGGCATCTTGCACCTGAAGACCACGACTGGCTACGACGTCCTCTTCACGCTGGAGGCCAAGGACAGGGGCAAGTTCGAGAGCGTGCCCAGCAATGCCAAGCTGCTCAAGTTCGGGCTCGACGCGAACGCGGCTGGCACCGCGGTCTCCATCCGCGATGGGAAAGGGCAATGCCGCGTTTAAACCGAGGACAGACATCTCGCTTGGAAACGTCGCTCACGACGAGAGTGGGCAATCCATCGACTGCGACACCGACGATGCGAGCAGCGATTCGTCTAGCGAGTCTTCTCCTAGTACTAGCTATTAGTTTGTCCTTTGATTCGCCCTCGCCTTCTCCCGCCTGTTCGCATCCGGGCGAACTGCTCCTAGTCCCTGAGTTGTTCTCGACTCTGACGCGGAATATTCAATGCCTATCCTGATCGCCTACATCATGGCCGATTCAGCCGATTATCGGCGCCGCCGCTACGCTTCGGAAACTCATTCCAAAGCATGACATCACCGCCCCTCAGGAGTCCCATGAGACTCCAGAGGGTCTGGTATCTTCGGGAGGAACTCGACGGTTTGCACGGCTACTGCACGTTCATCCCCTGTGGCATCAATGGCGGGCGCATGCTCTTTCTCCATCCCAGGCCCGCGGCGCGTTCCACTGAAGACGAGCGCCATTTACTTGGGCTGGGTCGAGCGCATGGGCTTGTTTTGCGAGGCCAGCGCGGCGCGCCGCAGGCCACGGACGCGCGCGTTGATCCGAGTCTTCCTTTTCCCGCGCGCCAGCACGCACTTCGGCAAATAAAACATCGCGCGCTACCTCCTACCACAGCGACCTCGTGCCTCGCCGGGGAACTCAACTTCTGCGCGGAAGCGGGGCGGGGGCGCGCGCGCGCGCGCCGACGGGCGCGCCGCGTTCCCCCCCCCCGCGCGATCGCCAAGTTTTTTTTTCCGAGCATGTCCCTCATCATACCGAAGTCGAAGAGACAAAATGCACGCGTAGGCGCAATCCAAGGGAGCACTTGGCGGTCAAGCCTGTCGCAAGGACCGATGGGATGCACGCTGAGGCCTTCAGCGCGGCGCCGATTGATCTTCGGGCACTGTCTCGTACGCTGGCAGCAGTCTCGGACGCGACGATAGGAGTGACGATAGGGGCGAATACCCCAGGGGAGAGCAATACATGTATCCAGGGGTGCCGATGATCTATGTCTTCGACAAGGCTCCCGGGCGAATGCGTGTAATGCCCGCCCCCAGGCTATTCGCCCCCATCGTCGCCGCTGACAGTGTCCCTCTACAGGAGGAGTATGCAAAGATTGTCAAACAAAAAGTCTGGGGACGATGTGTTGCATCTTTTCGGCTCTTGTTGGCGTATGTTTTGACTCAGGAGCGGGGGCTTCCCTGGGGCGAGAGAGAGGTCTTCAGGGCAAGCCGGGCGTGCCACATCCACAAGAGGAGAATGCAAAGATAGTCCAGAACAGAAACAGTACGTATGTGGAAGAGATGGTGAGTCTTTTTGGTTCTTTTTGGGGGGTACGTTCTGAACCTATGCTTCACTTCTCGCCCAAAAGGCTCCTGCAGGGGGACATACCCGACCTGGGTCTCCAGGGCAAGAGAGAGGGGTCGAGGCGGCTGGCCGCCGCGAGGGGAGCGGAGCACACCGCGGGATGTGTCTCCGCTTGGGCGCCCAGGAGGGGGGGGGAAGGAGATCGCAGGCGATCATCCTCCCCCTCATCCCTCCTCCCTCCTCCTCCCTCCTCCCTCCTCCCTCCTCCCTCCTCTCTTCTCCTCCTCCTCCTCCTCCCTCCTCCTCCTCCTCCTCCTCCTCCTCCTCCTCCCTCCTCCTCCTCCTCCTCCTCTCCTCCCCCTCCTCCCTCTCCCTCCTCCTCCTCCTCCTCCTCCTCCTCCTCCTCCTCCTCCTCCTCCTCCTCCTCCTCCTCCTCCTCCTCCTCCTCCTCCTCCTCCTCCTCCCCTCCTCCTCCTCCTCCTTCTCCTTCCCCCTCTCCTGCCTATGGCAGCGGTGGTAGGAAGTCGACCCATCTTTCTTTGTCTCCCCCCCCTCTCCCAAAAAAAAACACATGAGTGTCTGAGGACGGTGGGCACCTGGGTCGCTCCCCGCCCGGCTCCCGAGGGAGCTCGCCCCGCCCCACAGGAGGGAGAGGACTTCCGAGAGCGTTTTGTTGTTATTTTCGATGCGGCGCTTCGGCATCGGGCGGCAGGGGTCAGGTATAGCCAGGACCCCCCCAGGTGAGGGGGCCCGGTCAGCAGTACACGCTGGTTCCTTTCTAAGTATTCGAGCTCTTTGATTTTTGTTGGGGGGCAGAATCCCTTTTATGCATAATTCTTATATTCTGGGCCTCTTCCTGGCCACTAGGGGGCCAGGAACAATTAGAAGCGAGCACAATTAGAAATGAGCACGATTAGAAATGAACGACGTGTAGGGCCCGGGAGCCCCTGGATTGGCCAGAACCACCGAACCAGGTCTGCCGTAGTTGGTGTGTTTTTTTCGGGTGGCGGCAGTTCCGATGAGTGGAACGGGGCGGGGGGGCGTCCCCGAATATACATCAGGTCTGGCCGTTTAGAGAGGAGGGGAAGTTCGCGGCCTACCTCCCGGGGGCTGGTCGGATGTACCCTTATCGAGGATGTGGACGCCCCCCATCGTGCACCCCAGAGTTTGGCCCTACTGGTTTCTGTCCAGTCGACAGTCCCCCAATACAGTGGATCGACTTCGATCGTAGTGATCCTCTCTGGGTTGTGTTACATGTTCCTTGCCTGCCACATGTAGTTGGCGCGCTCCCTAAAACGGGAAGAGAAGGGAGACTGAAAACAGGGGAGAACGAGAGAGAGAGAGAGCAGGGAAAAGAGGGGGACACAGAACGGAGTGGGGCGAGAGCGCCATTCCTGGATGTGATAACGCATCTGACCAGGGCACGCGGGAGTGGATGGTGTTAAAAAGTACAGAGCGGGCCCCGTGGTCGTCGCAGTTGGGCCCTTCTCAACCCGAGTGCACTGCGAGGAAGTCTCAGGCCAGAGCGCCACTCCTGGGTGCGAAGACGCATCTGGCCAGTGCGTGTGGGAGCGAAGTGCGGGGACGTATCGCGCGGAGGCCGTTGTCGTCGCAGCCAGGCTTCCACGAGTGCAGGTGGACTGCGAGGAAGGCTCGGGCGAGGGCGCCACGCCTGAGAGCGGGGGCGTCTCGGGCCAAGGTGCCTCGGAGTACACCTTGGGCGATGCTTAAGAAAACTTAAGTTTTCGGCCAGAGTCTCGATTAGTCTTAACGTTTCAATGTAAATCCTAAGATTTGAATCGAATTTTTGGGTTTTTATTCCAGTTCTGAGACTCTGAATGTCTTAACCCATGATTTCTTAAGCATTTCGCACGGTGTACACAGCGAGGAAGAATCGATCTGGCCCTTCACCAACTGACTTGAATGAACTGCAGGGACGTGTCGGGCGAGGGCGCCGTTCTGGGGGCCTCCTCTAGCCAGGGCGTCTCGGAGTAATACGTCGGGAGTTCTCGAGCGAGGGCCGCTGCCGTCGCAGATGGAGCCTCAACAGCCGCGACCTGGCAGCAGGCCCGAGGTCGAGCGGGAGGGTCGCTCTCAAAGGAAGTGCAGCCAGCTTCGAGGTGAGGGGCCTGGAAAATTATTCCATATATCAACCATCGCTTGTTTTCCATAGATGAATATTCGACGGCGACGAGGACGGCCACGACGCCCGCGACGACGTCGCCGACAATAACGACGGCGACAAAGACTCATCGTGCGAAGCGGTGATCGACCACCCACCCACCCGTTATCCGTCGGCACTCACAATAATGATTGAATTCTCGCGGAGGGGGGGGGGGGGCAGCCGAGCGAGATCTTTAGCACCACGACACACGAATCCATTAGAATTCGATTGGTCTCTTTGCTTGGACCCTATCAGGCTCCGATTGGAATCCGATTGGGATCTCTCGGGGTTGGGTGTTGCAACCCTTTTGGGCCCTCCTTTGAGTCCGGTTGGAGCCTCGTCAGAATCCTAGTCGGACCTTGGTGGGATCACGCATGGAGAGGTCCAGTGGCTGGATATCACTTCCCGAGAGAGACGGGACGGGGGCTCGAAAATCGTTCCTGAGGGTGGGGGCACGACGGCGGCTACGACGACTTCGACGGCGATCACAACCACGGCGGCGAGTTCGACGACGGCGACGACGACGACGACGACGACGACGGACGACGACGACGACGACGACGACGACGACGACGACGACGACGACGACGACGGACGACGACGGACGACGACGTTGACGACGACGTCGACGACGACGGCGACGAGCACGACGAGCACGGCAGCAGCGGCGGGAGAGAGGGCGCGCGCCTGGCCGTGCCAGACGGGAGCCTGGCGGCCCCCGGGAGCGGCAGCCGCGCGGTGTCCGTGCTCGAGGCCCTGTTCGGGGCCCCTCTGGACGCCGCTGGCGAGCTGGTGTGGCAGGAGACAACTTGTTCTCTTGGAGCCGACGGGGGGCTCGTTTTCGATGGATTCGATTACATTCGATTCGGTTCCGATGGATCCCGATGCCGAGTCGATGCGGCGCCGGAGTTCATCGGCTGTGCAGGCCCCTCTCGCGTGTTGCCAGGTGCGCTTTTTGGCCCAAGGGCTGTCTGCGAGAGTCACTCACATTCTTGTTAAAAGTTTGCAAGAGTTTCACGGACGGAGTGTGGCTCCTGTTCAGCATGTCGTTTTCGCTTCAGCGCCGCGCACATTTGCTTGAAACGTCTACTAGAGCTTCACGGATGGTGGACGGGCCGTTTTCAAAATGTCGTTATCGTTTTGGCGCCGCGCACGTTCACCTACAACCGTTTCTTGGGTTATTGTGGTTGGCGTCCCAGAAACCATATGCTTTGGCACGGCGTAGGACTTCCAGGGCGTAACACTTACGTTGATACGCGGTGCTGAAGTCCCTTGGCACGGAAGTCCAGAACGATCCAGGACCGTCAGGACGCAAGAGTCCTCCTCCTCTTCCTTCTCCTCTATTCCTTTACCATATAAGTAACTCCCCCCTGTCGCACCCCGAAGCCAGTCGAAAGGACGGGCTGGGCGTTTTCGCGTGAGTCCCCCTCACTGCTGAGGATCTTGAAGCTTGAAATGTGGAACCATTTCACGGATGGAGGGCGGATGGTTTTCCAGATGTGACTCTCGCTTCTTTCTTGCCGCGCACGCCCGCCCTAAAAGTTCGCAAAAGCTTTACGGATGGAGGGCGGGCCGTTTTCAAAATGTCGTTCTCGCTTCAGCGCCGCCCACCGTTGCGGTTTTTGTTCATGAACCGTCTCACGCATGGGAAGGTGGCTCCTTTTCAAAATTCGGGTTTCGCGTTAACGCCGCGCACCGCTTCGAGGATGTTCATGGCGAGCGTCCAAACAATGGCGTTGTGGCACGGCGTTGGACGATCAGGGCGCAACCGTTACGTTGGTTCGTGGCGTTGAAGTCCCAGAATTGCATTCTGGCACGATCCAGGATCGCCAGGACGCAACAGTAACGGTGATTCGGCGTTGAAGTCCCAAGCATGTTTTGTTCCCAACCATGTTGTGGTGTTGGGTCCTCGTTTGAAGAGATGTCGCCCCGCGTTCCTCTCCTCTTCTCCTCCTCCTCCTCCTCCCCCTTCCTTTCTCCTCCCATCATCATCAGCATCGTCATCATCATCCTCAGCATCACCATCAGCGTCATCATCACCATCATCGTCATCATCATCGTCGTCATCATCATCATCTGGCCGTCATCATCACCAGCATCATCACCCATGTCTGCACACCCCTTACACGTTTCGTGGCCTCATGGGGAGCTCCACCAAAGGCCCCAGTGCCACCGCCCGCCTACGTCCCCCACACCCATCTCGGCACATCCCTCACACGTTTCGTGGCTCCATATGGAGCTCCACCGAAGGCCCCAGTGCCACCGCCCGCATGCCCCTCCCACACACACACACACACACACACACACACATTTCGGCACACCCCTCACAAATTTCGTGGCCCCATAGGGAGCTCCACCGAAGGCCCCAGTGCCACCGCCCGCATGCGCCCCCCACACCCATGTCGGTACACTCCTCACACGTTTCGTGGCCCCACACGGACTTCCACTGAAGGCCCCAGTGCCACCGCCCGCATGCGTCCCCAACACCCATTTCGGCACACCCCTTACACGTTTCGTGGCCTCAGAGGGAACGGAGTCCCACCGAAGGCCACAGTGACACTGCCCGCATGCGTCCCCCACACCCATGCCGGCACACCACTCACACGTTTCGTGGCTCCATATGGAACTCCACCGAAGGCCCCAATGCCACCGCCCGCATGCGCCCAACACACGCACTTCAGCACACCCCTCACACGTTTCGTGGCCCCATATGGAGTTCCACCGAAGGCCCCAGTGCCACCGCCCGCATGCGCCCCCCACGCCCATTCCGGCACACCCCTCACACATTTCGTGGCCTCACAGGGAGCTCCACCGAAGGCCCCCGTGCCACCGCCCGCACGCGTCCCCCACACCCATCTCGGCACACCCCTCACACGCTTCGTGGCTCCATAGGGAGCTCCACCGAAGGCCCCAGTGCCACCGCCCGCATGCGTCCCCCACATCCATTTCGGCAAACCCCATCACACGTTTCGTGGCCCCCCATAGGGAGCTCCACCGAAGGCCCCAGTGCCACCGCCCGCATGCGTCCCCCACACGAATGTCGGCACACCCCTCACACGTTTCCTGGCCCTATATGGGGGCTCCACCGAAGGCGCCAATGCCACCGCCACCATGCGTCCGCCACACTCAAGGTTCCAGGGAAGAGCTCCAGACCTCTGGGGAGAAGGAGGAGGCGGAGGAGGAGGAGGAGGCCCGCTCCCCCCCGTATGCATGTTGCTTTGCGTTCGCGGGGGGTCCCATTCCACCAGCGAGGGTCTTTCCGGTGTTCTCGCTGTGGTCGCCGTAAACGAGCGGTGGAGGAGTGGCCTGGTGGATGTCGTCGTCGCCGTCGTCGTCTTCGTCTGGCGGCGGCTCCGGATCGCCCCGCGGCATGCGGGCCGGGGGCCGCGGGCGCGCCGGCGATCCTCCGCATCCGCGGGGACGTGGCCGACCGCGGTGCAGTTTGCGGCGCGCACGAAGCGGCGAAGGGCTTCACCGAGCTTATCCGCGAGGCTTGACCTGAGGAGCGCCCCCATCCGAGCCGCGCCTTCTCTCGAGTGCCCAACAAATTGTTTGGCGTCGCGCCGCGGACGACCCGCGCGCGTCGCTGGGACCCTCCCGGGGCGACGAGCGCGCGTCGCAGGAACTCCGCGTTGCGTTCTCCCTTGCGCCTCGTTCGCCCGTCGTCGCTCTGCCCAGCGGTCAGAGCCTTGCCCGCTATCAGCCAGCCAGCTAGCTAGCTAGCTAGCTAGCTAGCTAGCTAGCTAGCTAGCTCTCTTTGCTCCGCGCAGCGGACGACCCGCGCGCGTCGCTGGGGCCCTTCGGGGCGACCGGCGCGCGTCGCGGGGACCCCGCGTCGCGCTGCGGCCGCAGCTTTGGACATTGGAGTGCGCGGGCAAAGAGGGAGGAACAAAAATGGAAGGAAGCGGGCGCGATTCTCGCGAGGGGCGCGCCGACATGGGCATCGCGGCGCGCGGGCGCTGCCGCCGGGGTTCCCGCGGAAGCTTTCTGCGGCGGCCACGCTCACTGTTCGCTGCATATACATTTTACACGAGGCGTAATCCGATGATTGAAATAAGGCGACAATTCACCCCCTCTGTGACAGAGGGTGTTAATTTGGAACCCGCACCACCCCCTCTGTGACAGAGGGGGTCGGCATTTCTATCTCACATGTGAGACTCACGTATTTCTAGCTGCACGCAATCCATTCGTCATCACGCTCTCTCATGCAATCCATTCCGCCATCATATTATGCGTGCGATTCTCTCGCGCGCCACCCTCCCATGCAATCCATTCCGTCATCATATTATGCTTGCGATGTCTCCTTCTCTTCCCCCTCGCTCTTCCTTGTTTGTGGTCGCCCTACTCATTGTCCACTTCGCGCTTCTTCTTTATTTTGTTATTTTTCCCCAGCTTCCGCCATCCATCCAAGTCGCGTCGTCTGCCGCCTTTTTTCTCAAACCTAATTCCCGCGCGCGTGGTGTTGTTCGCGGGCAACGGTGCAGGCGGGCCGTTCGCGGCCTTACGCGCGGCCCGCAATGGGCGATGGAAGACGGAACTCCTGGGATGGTGAGGCAGGGTGGTGGCCCAGCCGCAGCAGTGGCTGGCATCGGCGTGGCTGGGGGGATGGCCATGATTGGTCAGGCAGCGGGCGGCGAGAATGGGGAGAAGATTGGGGCGCGCCAGATGGCGCCGCCGCTGCGCGAGACGTCGGTGCCGCCGCAGCAGCGGCGGACACGAGGCAGTCTCCTTTCGACGAGATTGGCGTCGTGAGCCCCATCGCCCCTGGCCTTGGCAATCCCGAGTTCCAGAATTTCGCGAGGGCTACCCTTCGCAGGATGCCGCAAGAGGCGCCTGAGGAGCGAGGCCCTGCCGCTGCCGCATCAGCGGCGGCTTGCGGGCCGCAGGACGTAGAAAAGTTTGACGCCGATTCTGTTTTACAATATGAGGAAAGGCCCGGCGATTCTTTTCGACAGCACAACGAAGCGTTGAAGTGGTGGCGGCACGTCACCGAAAACGCAAAACGCCCGTTCGAATCCGAAGCTAAGTGGTTTGACAATGTGGAACCCACCATGGTCGCTGTGTGCGATCACGGTGAGAAAACGGCCTCTGGTTTCAAGGACGAGGAAGTCCCGTGGCGGTGGCAAGAGATGGTGGCGACGCTCAGGGACGATGATATCAGGGAGGTCGCGCGAGGGCCCCATAGCAGTGGGGCTCTGGTCGGCTGTTCTCTTGAAATTCGCCCGAATAGCTGCGACCATAAGCGTCAAAGCGTCTTGCGCGCGGCACAGATCGCGGGGCAGCGGGTGAAAGTGAGACTGCCGATGTGGGATTTCGTGCTTCATCGCGACGACGGAACGGCCGTCCGTTTGCACCCGCATTGGGGGGGCAGGAAAGTGGAAGCGCTGGCCCTCGTGCCCCGCGCGGAGGCGGTGGAGCCACCGGACGCGGGCTCGGGCCAGAGCGACGGGCCCGGGACGTTTCGCTATTGCGCGTCAGTAGGTGTCGAGCGTCGGTTTCGGTTCGACGCCGCCAAGGAGAAGCGGCGTTCGACGCAATCGCGGGGGCCACGTAACAGCGGAGCTTCGGAGCTCATGGAAGCGAGATTCCCCAGGTCCGTCGGCCAGGTCGCACCAACGCGCGGCTCTTCAGCAGGAGCCGCCGCAGCAGGGGCCGCCGCGGCAGCGGCTGGCTCCGCAGCAAGCGGGCGGTGGGCTGGTGTGAACAGCTCCGCAACAGCGGGGCTGTCGTTACCGCGAGGCGCGCGGGCAGCGCGCGCTGTAGCGGCGACGTCGGAGCGCGCTTGGAGGCGCCATTT